GTTTTCAACTTCATATGCAGAAACAAGGCCTCGGGGAGAACTATTTACAGGATACATTCCAGAACTGTGGTGTGTTTTGAGAACCAAGTAAAAGACAGCAACAATCATTTTGAAAATGGAAAAAAGATGTTATTTTGCAGAGTTCACAGTATCTTATCGGGTTTTCCTCATACCTAAAAACAAAAGGTGAACTTTCCAGAAACCAGTGTGGGAACACAGGGGTTACCAGTGAAAGTGATTTGCAGCCTTCACTAGCAAGATGGCACACCCGAGATCTAGCCCTCTCTTAGCATAGCCACTCCTGGGACTGGTGTATGCTAACTATAGTGTAATCTTAACAGAGTAAGCTTGGTTTGACTTCAACAGACTTTGAAATTTCACTCAGATAGTGAGAAAAAGCTACTAGATGAGAAGTTTAAGCAGTCACCAGAATTCTGAACAAAGCTTTGTAACAGCTTTCAGCACCACACTTGTTAATGAACCTTTAAATAAAGACACTGACCATGCAACAGCCTGTCCTGAATATTCTGCTGAAGTAGACAGCATGCACAGCACCTTTGAAATAGCAGGCCTTTCCATAGAGCCCCACAAGACTTCGAAGTGCTATTTTCAGGGTTTAGCAGGCTACAGTCTCCAGGTGAGTTTTCATGGGTGAGACCATGCCACTTTTTCAGTAGAAACAGGCAGAACCAGAGAAATGCTGAGCAGGTACTTACCACTCACAAATGCAGGGGGAGATGCAGCCACTTGCAAAGCAGGTGCTTTAGCCCTGGAGCTACTTGCCTCTGCCAGATTTAAAGGACTGACTGAAGCCAGAAAGGCATGCTGATAAAGAAGCTTCTTTTCCCCATCGCAATTCGCTCAGGGAGAAGATGCAGGTTCTGTGCTGTTTTGTAGCCACACAGACATTTACAGAATCCTTTTATTTGCACAGCCCCACTCAACCACCACAGTGCATGCCATGTTTCCACTTGATTTGAAGCCAAACCTGGGGGGAGGGTGGTCTTGCAGGCAGCAATCATTAGGACAGCAGCCTGCAGCCTCCCAGAGTGCAGCCTACCTTACATGTGCTTGGTAGTAACATCATTGCAGAGACAGGTGCAGGCTGGCAGCACTCACTCACCCCTCAACTCTGTGTATGAGGGAGGAGCTGCTGAAAATTTTTCAAAGTTTGGGACAGGAATAAGAAAGAGCAAGGAGGAAGCAGTTTGTGACAAAGTGCTGGGGATGGGGCCAAAGAGCCAATCCTGTTCTCTGGTACACATACAGTCCCCAGTTCCAGGTGCAAGTGGCTTTCACCTGTCAAGGATTTTGCTCGTGGTGAATCATTTCAAGAGTGGGAAATTGGATACTCACAGAAACATCCTTTAAACACAGGTTTTATGATCAAAAAACCATTATAACCTATGTCCTACAGCAGGACACAAGACAGAGTACGGGTGTTTCACATCTCCCTGGCTTCTCACCAATTGAGAAAGATGGATGATCTTTGCAACCACAGTTTCACTGAGCCAGCTGTGGAAGCTGTATTTCTCCATGTCTGGATGCAAGTTCTTGGTCAAGTTGGTTTTAACTATGAGAACCTAATCACATGAAATGACAAGTGAGAGTGATACTTTAAGGGCATTTGACATAAAAGGGTTCCTTGTCAAAAGGGTTTCATTACAGTTTTCCTGTTTGTGTTGCATGAGTTTCTCATGGAATTGGTAACTGGATACAGAGCCTATTGAATCTGGGTTACTGGTTCAAATGATCTCCAAAGAAACCACTACTGGCAAATAAGTTGATAGGATCAGTGCAGTTCATACAGATAAATGTTTGCACCACCAAAAACAAGAGTTGTTTGTTTTCACAGCAGAGATGGCAAGGACTGAACAGACCTAATTAATCTAGTCTGGCTGCTGGTCTGTCCTGCTGGGAAAGCATGCTGGGTGCATCTACACATGCCCCAGACTGTGCAGTTATTACTGCACAGTCATTTAGTACTTGCTAAAGCAAATCAGCTGTTACTGTACAGACTCAGCAGTGCACGGGTCATTTCCGATCTTACTGTAGTAGAGTCAGTGACATGGTTCACGCCCACCAACACTTGCTGTAGCAAGGAGCTACCTTGTGGTAGCTTGTCACTATGGCAACATAACATCTCATGCAGACACTCCCACTGTTAAGACCACTGCTAAGGACTTGTTGCATCTCTTCTGCATACAAAGGACTTAATTTCCAAGGGCTGGCCAACTTGTACAGTGAGTGAACTCTGCAGTATTTTAAGGGCTTTCTGTTAATTAGAAGTCTGTACAATGATTTTTGGGTCCCTCCCACCGGTGAGAACCAGAGCAAGCTGTGCATATCCTACAGAATGACAGGCAGATGGTAGTAGTTTGGGAAAGACCTGCCTTGCTGAAAGGGATAGCTAATATAGAAGGGAAAATCATGATAAATCTGAACATGTGCCCAGGATTCTGCAGGAAATAATTTCCTAACCATTACTAGAAATGAAACCCAATTTGTACATAGATTTATAAATGTGTCAATCAGCAGAGTAAAGTTCTAACACCCACATGGGAAGATTATGGTTAAACTATTCCTGATGAAGAAGGCAGGGCAGGGTGACATCTTATAGACCAGGGGTGGGCAAAATACAGCCCATGGGAGGGACTTTGTCTGGACCACAGTGGGTCCCTCTGGGCCCATGGTGTGTCCCACTGCCCCCAGGGTGCACAGCAGGGCTGGGGCAGCTTCATGGCTAGACTTCATTTCTCAGCAGCAGCAGCTCCTTCTGGCTGCTGCTACCACCAGCCCCACAGAGACCAGCTGGGACCCACAAGGGCAGGGCCCAAGCCCCAGGCTGAGTACAAAGCCCTTGCCCCTGCCCCAGCCTGCATGGGGGGTTGGGGTCCCTGCAGTACTCCCTCCAGATTTGCCCACAGAAGTAGAAAGTGGGACCCAGAGCCTGCACTAAGGCTGTCCTGTGGCTCCTCCCCACTGCCCTGCCAGGTGTAGGGGCCCTGGGAAGCCCAGAAGTGGTGCTGGTGGAGGCGGCAGGAATGGGGAGGAGCTGCAGGGGAGCCCTAGCACTGGCTCTGAGTCCCACTTTTTCCCCACCACCACCATTCAGCCTGGCTGGGATGGGTGGGTCCAGAGCAAGCGCTGCAGGAACCCCGACCCTCTACGCAGAGCGGGGCAGACCAGGGCCAGGGGGTGTGCACTCAGCCCAGGTCTCAGGCCCTGCCTACACGGGTCCTGATGGGTCTTCATGGGGCTGCAGCTGGTGGCCATGGCAGCTGGAAGGAGCTGTCACTGCCTCTGCACCCGGGCTGCTGCTGAAGCCAGGCAGCAGCTCCAGCCCCGCCTTGGGGCCCATACAGGCAGGACCCAAGCCCTATGCTGAGCGCACAACCCCAGGCCCCACCTTCCCCACAAGGGGGGGGGCCTGCAGTGCCTGCTCAGGATCTGACTACTTTAGCCCTGATGAGCAACAGTGGTAGGTAAAAGCAGGACCTGGAACCAGCTCTGGGGCTGACCTGTGGCTCCTCCCCACCACTGCTGCTACCAGTGCTCGCAACAGCCCACCTGTGTCCATGCCAGCTCCCTGCCCGCCCATGACCCCATCCTACACAGGGAAGTTCAGTGAGCTGTTATCGGGGGAAGGGGGGTAGCAGGGCAGATGCTGACGTGGCCCACGACAGCTCCCCAAAACTCCCTATATGGCCTGCAGGCCTTAATAATTGCCCACCCCTGTTATAGACTAACCCATTAATTCTCAACCTATTCAGATTGAAGGCAGCCTTTTTTTTTTTTTTGACTACTGAAAAATACTGGAGCCATTCTTTTGTTGCAAAGAACTCAAAAAGCCAAGAACAGGACAGAATGTTTGTGACAACATGGATTCCTATTTAAAACCTCTGGTTTTGGTCTTGTGAATCACATATAGGTGTTTGCACACCTAATAGAGCTAACATTGCACAGCACCCCATGGCACCCACCTTGATTAAGAATCACTGGATTAACATGTTCAGAAAGGCATAAGCTTTGTTAGGCTACAGCCTACATTATCAGATGCTGGGATGAAGCATCTGACAAAAGAAAGCTTATGTCTCTCTGAACAAGTTAGTTTCTACAGGTGCCACCCTGCCCCGCCTTCTGCCCGACTTTCAACTAACACAGCTACCCACCTCTCTCTATTTGTGATGCATTAACTGGTGGAAGTGAAAGCAGCAAATACACAAGACTGCCAGGATGTTAATCTTCTAGGGCTTGATTCTCATTTGTGCCTGATTCTCAAAGATGCGCTCATGCTGCTCTGAAAGTGAGGAAGCAGCTTCAAGTCTCTTCACATGGCCACAGCAGTATGTGTACATGCCTGAAGAAGGGTGTTTGTACCTGAAAGCTTTCAAAGAACAATTTGTCCAACTATTTAGTTGGTCTAATAAAAGATACCACATTTACCCAAGGAACCTTGTCTACCTACATGAAAATCAAGCTTCCAGAGTTCTGAGACCACACCAGGCTTTCATCTCCCAGACCTCATTCTCCCCTGAGGATTCTTAGTTACTGTCAAAGAAACTGAAGAAAAAAAAAAAAAATCACCCAATTTGATTTTTCCTCCCTTTCTGACTGAAATTTCCTCCCATTCTGGAGGGTGAATGAATCTGCTGCTGTTTGCATGGATGTAGCTGGGGGGCAGCTTAAACTGTTTCTCAGTTCCTGGCAGTTCCTTCCTCCTCTAAAAAAAAACAAGAAAAGAAAAGAACAAAAAGAAAAAAGAAAAAAAAAATATCAGTTCTTTCATTAAAATGTTTGAAAAACATCACAAGCAAAAGCTACCCAAACCCGTCAGATTTCCTACAAAACTAGCAAGACAGCCATTTTTCTGTTTTGGTCTAGGGACAAAGGATTTTTTCACTGCATGCATTATGTGCACAGGGGAATAGTGACCAAACAGGGAGGTTTGAAGAGGTGTATTTCAGCGAGACCGGGACAATCCCATCACAACTAATAAAAGAATTTATTGTAAACTTACGTATATTACACAATTATACATTATAATACAGATAACATGGAGGATCTGAACACTCAACAGTACAAATATGGACAATGTATGTAAGGAGATCTTTGATTTATTAAGACTTAAAAAAAAAAAAAAAAGCCAGAGTGCTTGTTTGGGAATATTTAAGTAACATTCCAATTTCTTCCATACTTGTCTTGATATATACCAATTTTCACAACCTCACACTTGGAGGTGTGCAACACTAACTTGCTTCCATGCAATTCTTATGGAAGAGATTGTTGGTTTGGGGGGTTTTTTTTGCAAAAAATTCTCTCCCATCACCCATGAAAATTCAAAAGACCTACTTGCAAAAATGTTCTAATTTTGGAGAACTAAATAAATGCATCATTCCTGGGACCCGCTTTTGGTTTTTGTGGATAGTTTTCTTAGCAGATTTCATAGGTGATTATTACTCTCCTAGGGTAACTCTCTTAAGCCTGTTTGCTTAGGAATAAATCCACGGCAGTCTCTGCACTACAGAAGCCCCTTTACAAACTGCAGCTGCATAGTTGCTGTTGTCCTGTCCTAAGATCTGCTGCCCACACCTTTATCTCCTAACCTACAAGATGTGCACAGAGGCATCCTAAAGGTGTAGGAGATGTTTCATTTCACTGTAGCCTACAGATAAACCATCAAGCTGAGAAAGCCTTAAGTCCCTCAACTAACTTCACCCTCTGCACTGGCTATTCACTGTGTTCCAGCAAAAATCCCCAAAGCTGTGCTTCTCCAGAACCATTCTTGTTCTAAAAACTAAAGCAAGGGCCATACTGTGAGCTGTCAACAACACAAGTGATCCTGTGGGCACTCACCAGCACAAGCAAGAGATCTTGAATTTACAATGCCTTGCAGCATGCAGGCCTTGGCTCCTTTCACGTGGTCCAGTCCAGATCCCTCTCCACAGTCCCGTTTTCAGAGTTAAAGACCAGATCCTGCCATTCTCATTCAAGTTGTGTTGTACTGTACTCCAATCATGATTTACTCAATGGCCTATCTTAGAGGCCAATATACTAAGTTGCACGAAGAGCAACAGAATCTGGCCTGACAAGGGCTGTGGGGCCAGGCATCTTCCGTAGCTATAAAAAGAATTAAATTAATCTTTATTTGGTTTGTAACAGCTCCTTGAAAGCCTGGAGTGGTTCATTTTTAGCTGAATCCTTCCTCCACAATGCCTGTACACTTGTGATTAACTGTAGAGCTACTGGCATCAACACTGTTAACCTTCTAGCACTGCACTATCTATTTTGTAACAGACTACCATGCCCTGCCAGCTCCCCAAGTGATCATTTTTATCTCTTGATAATGCTTTATGTATTCAAAGTACTGCAGGAACATTAGCAAGGCCCCAGCACACTCCCGTGAGGTAGGTATCACTAGCCCCGATTCTACTGATGGGGAACTTGAGGCACAGAACAACTGAATGACTTGTCCAAGGCTACGCAGTGAATCAATGACCTGGCTGGGATCAGAACTGGGAAGGCTCGCTCTCTCAGTCCACTCCACACTCAATCCTTTAGACAGTACCACCTCAAAAACAACATGGACTTAGGAAGTCCCATAAGGATTAGAGAAGAGTAAAATTTTTGGCCCCACTAGTCTTAACTCTGTCAGGCTACAGTACTGACCAAGATACTGGGAAGGCTTATCATTTGCCAGTTAAACCTTCTTAAGCCAAGTGGCAGTTGGAGGGCTGTAGGGGTTCCTGTGAAAAAATGCAAAGACAGGTAAGTCGTCCAGTTGGATGTTAAACTTCCCTCTCCCAAGGCACAAGAGAGACTCCCACAAACAAAGGGAGCTGTGGTTTCGTGATCTTATACAGCAGCTTGCTTGTGCACACAGCTGGAACCTAGGCATTGTTACAGCCAGTTCCCTCACAATCTGAGCCCATCAACATTTTGCAGCATCAGTAAGATGGAGTTAGTAATACTCTCCAGCTCCAGTAATACACTACTCGGGAATCTTCCAGAAGCATGGATCAGTATTTACTATGCAAGCAAAGGACCCTGAACAGAAAAACTGAGCACTGGCCTCATGAAACAAGCTGGGAATCCATGTCACTTCACTTTCTTCTTCATGCAGGTCACATACTCAGCCAGTCTCCTCTAAATTTCACCCTGGTCACTCCTCCTGGACACATTTCCAACCTCCTATGGCGGGGAGGTCCAAGAATGGACTGGTCCACCATTCTCTCATGAGGGAGGATGTTACATGTTAAAGTGGCTGTATATGGCATGTTCTGCTGTGTGTCAGGAGTCGTGTTCCTGCAGTTCAAAGTGTAACTGTGAAGTTTGCCACAACCACTCAACAAACCAACTTTAAAAATTGCCTTTGCATGTAGCCACAAGCAATTCAGCTATTCTCCGATTTGAAAAAAACAGTTATGCTTGTACTTGTCTATGGATTAAATCAAATGGGAACAGAAGTAACAAAGAATTATTTTCATCCTAAAAATGCATAACCTCTGCAATGATATATCCAGTCAGAGGTCCAAGATCAATTTGGTAGCAAGTCTTTCACAGTTAGCAACCTAACTCACACTGACTACATATGTTCAGCCACTGAACATACACTTACTGAGTCAAAGCTGAAATCCAACAACTTGATTTGGAACCGACCATCATTTTGTTGCATTAAGGTGCATCTTTAATTGGAGGTAACAATCTAGTAGCCCAACACTATAAAATGTATATAACAGTGATCTACAGAAATAGAGGTTTTGCTGCCAAAAGTTCAGTCTTAAATCCATCTTTTCTATAGTATCTTCTCCGGTAATGTTCACTGTTCCTCAGTTAGTATTTTCATGTGTTTGTTTGTAAGGAAATCAAGAAAGGGAATATTACAGATGGCCTGGTGAATATTCATCACTGTGATCTCTCTTGGAGTCCTGCAGAGAATGAAATCAAAGACATTATTAAAATACATAAAAAAGCAGGCACTGCTGAAGTGCCAGGTCCATAAATTTCCTAATGGATAGAAAGAGCCAAAAAGGATAATAGAGCAAACGTTACAGCAGCAGAGAAAAAGGCATTAAAATGTCATAGCACAAAACAGATGCCATCAGGCTAGCTGGGGTATACACCTTGAGCATTAGATCATGAAAATTAAAACGAAGTGCTGAAGAATCAACTCTTGGGATTCTATGGAACAAGCAATATTTTAACTATGTCATCCTCCTGCACAGTTTAAACATGCTTGCTTTTAATTCCAAGTTCTGTTAGAACACTATGAGGATCAGGATAAAATGCTCCTGAATGCACCTAATCAAAAAGAGGGGAAATTATTTATGGGCCAAGGGTTACTGCAAAATTTACTTAATTCCCATGTGAGAATCTCTTCTGTGTTTGATGCTCTTTGGGCTGTCAATCATAGCCACCCAATGATAAGCTGTTAATATATTAACTAGTTTTGATCACGGTGGAGGGTCTCCCAAGTCACTTAACCATGCCTGCCACACATGTGCATTCGCCTGCATCTAACTACAGCAACATAGGACTTTTCCCTGAAGTTCATGGGCAGACTTTATTGTGGACCACAGATAAAGCTGATAGTCCAGGTCTCCCCTTGTCTCCTAAAAAGGATGTTTTCCCCTCTCAGAGTCCAATTCAGGTTCTGCTTCTGGACATAACTGATTATCACTCAGCCATAGGTAGGCAGGTGTGGATGTAAGAGACCTCCAGTTCCTTGGACTGTCCCTGTTTCATCATCCCAACCCAGGTCCTGTACTTGAGAGCTAATAGCACTCTCCTCGTTCTCATGTTTCCATCCCTCTGGCAAACCCCTGCATTTCTGGCAACTCTTTTGCAGCTCTTTCCTCAGGAGTTCTTCAAGAGGGCTGCCCACATAAGATGGCTCCTCTGTTGTGTTCTACTCCTAGGGTCCCTCTCATGTACTTTACTCTCATGGGCACCTTCTTCCAGAATAAAAGTGTTACTTGCTGTTCCTGGATTTGTCTTGACTTAGCTTGTTCTTCCATTGTATCTGGTACCTTCCTTTAAGACATCAGCTGAGCTTGGCTGGTCCTCTCTGACAGTCAGCTCTCTTCCTTGCCAGCCCCCCTTGCTGCTCTCAAGGTCATTGCTTTCTGCATCCCTTTCTTGAATGCAACCTCAACCTTTATAGAGAACAGGATACACTCCTGTTGGGAAAACCTAACAGGTGAATCAGGACCATTTCCTCTTACATGGATTTTTCACCCTGTGACAACCTGAAGGTGAGACAACTGGATGTCAGCCACTTCTCCTACAATTTTTAATCTCCAATTTGTAAGGTTCTATTATTATAGCACTCCATCTACATCCGAAGAACCAGAGAGGACTTCTCTGGAGGCAGTTTCTGTTGCTCGTCACTTAAGTTCAAATGGTCC